AAGAACTTGAGAACAGGATAAACGTAAACAATAAGCAATCACATTTTAGACCTGCTTCTACTGAAAAAATCTTCATTTGAAAGAAATATTTTTTGCTCAAATTTTATTTAAATTATTTTAAAAAATTATTTCCTTGGGTCAATGAAAACCATCTTTGAAATTAAGATATTTATTTTATTTGTAAAAACAGAAATAATGTTTTTTTCAAATATGAGCAGAGAAATATTTCTTTAAAATTAAGATTTTTTTTTCAGTGTATTATCTTACGTTCTTTACTGTAATTGTTCGATTAGTTTACCGCCTTACGTTTTTGCTTAAATTGAATCGAGATTAAAGTTCAATCTACATTGCTTCAGTAAAAACAGCAGTTTTGCAACTGTTGTAAGATCTTTAATATTATTAATCTATACACTTAGATCCAATAATGAATTAAGGATAGAATCAATTACATATATTATTCTTTTACAGAACGCAGTCATTGGTAGAGATGAATATTAGAGATAACATCAAATTAGACTGGGTCCACAATCTTGCTTTAAGATGCCGTAAGCCGTAAGAATTTGACCAATCACAGTCGATTATTTTTCTCGCGTTCAACTATGATTGATCAATTTCTTACGACTTTACGGTTTAGGGCCTCTTAGTTTTGTGGACCCAGCCTTAAACTTTCGACTATTAAATATATGATGAAGTAAGTAAGAAACATACGACTGGAGTAACTCCGCGCACTAAAAATCATCTTTCGAGAAAAGTTCTATTTACTTTTGATTGCGATAATATTTTTCGTAATGAGTTCTTCACAGGTTTCTCAAAATGTCAGAAGCATCAAATCAACTTGTAATTAAATTTGGGGGATTGGCAGTATTTCAGATCGATTATGTGTCGAAAGTCTGAAAGCAATCGGCATACAGTAATATTTCTGAGATTTTATTTGAAATACGTATATATGTATTAGTCTAACGCGTCTAACTTTGACCGTAATTGGTGTTTCTCGTATTAAATTGATCTATTTACTTTTTGCT